GCATGGCTCTAACACGTATAAAAAGTGGACTGCTACTGGCCAGGAACGAAAGAAGAAAGTATTGATGTAAAAATATATATATATAGTTCTTAAATTCAGTTCGTGTGGATCACTCTGTAGTAAGTAGTAACAATGGGTGGTCAATGCTCATAAATGTATAAATAACTCATATACGCCGTCGTGTCTGATTGAACAGGCTACAAGGCCGCGTGCGACCCAACTTCCGGTTCCAATTCTATTCATACGTCATACGTCACATCATTTAGCACTCTGTTATATTAAGGCGATACCCCGACCAAAACCTTGCGATAGTGCGTTTTTCTTCGTTATTCAGAGACTATATCTCAATAGTTATGAGAATTAAACTACATCTAAAAGCACATTATTAATGTTCGATATCCTATCATTACATTCCACGTTGTAATTTGTTTTTATATGTTATAAATACATTTAAAATCTAGTTTTAAAAAATGAATAAACTTATTGATTACATGCATCTGTTGCTAAAGGCAACGCTCTAATCATTTGAGGATTACACTAATGGATTACAATTACACTAATTTAAAATCTATATTATTAACGTTTTATTTAATTTTTAAAGTTCGCTTTTCTTTTTTAATTAAAATTAATTCCAAAATTGTGTGATTTCAATGATAAATGTGCGACGCAGAGTGCGGGCGGCAGTGCACTGCATGCTCAAGGTTATTTGGTCAGGGAAACGCCTTAACGTACTTGTGCATGATTTCGCAACCCTTTCGAAATTACCCACATGATACAATAAATGTCCATTATTATTCATGTCTCTTCATTCGATTACAATGTGCATCTTTAAGGTAAGAGTGACTTTAGTTAAGTCAGTGCGCTTGACCATCTTCGGCTGCATCAACACTTACCATCAGGTGGTATAGTAGTAAAGCAGGGATATTAGCTTTAAGCTACCGGTGAATAGAAAACTTTACAGATCATTTCCTTAAAGCAGCACTACTTCTAAAGTATAACATATTATGTATGTGACAGACATCGCATTTAATCCAAAAAACAATTCATCACCACACAAATTAATATGGATGTTTGCGCGAAATCGGGACCTTGAAGTCACTAGTATATCATTATGTGACGTTGAAATATGTCATTGAAAGAAAAGGATTAATGTCCTTATAGTTTCAAACCCGTTAAGACTTTCGTGTTATCTTTGAAGCTTTGAACGCGGTGGAAGATTTTGACGTTAATTGGAGCTAGAAACATGTCGCAGTAAATTAAAAAAAGGATATTTTGTTTAATTAATTTTGTTAGTCAATACTTCATACTAAAACTTTAATACTAAAATAAACTGAGGCGGCGACAGCGTGAGAGAATCCATCACTCCATCTCCTGTTATAAAAGGCAGGATGTTTAGACAAGTAGTTTCTTAGTAAACCTTTGTTGAGTAACAGTTGGTCAACATTCTCGCAACTTCATATTTTCTTGTACGCCTCATGTAGTTTTTTTTATAGAATATGGGTGACAAACGAGCACACTATCCACCTGATGGTAAGTGGATGCTGTGGCCTATAGACATCTACATCTATCCTCGATTCAGAATCAAAATTCAGATGCGCTGTCACCCGTTAGTACTAAGATGGAATGCCTCGTTTTCAGTAAAATGGGTCTTCGGTTCTGTACACTCACCATACGAAACACAGCAGTGTTAAGCTGCTATTTTACGCTGGTATTCTGTGAGAGCGTGGTCCTACCCCAGTCGAGCCGACCCATTCGTGCTACAACCATAATATAGCTGCAGCGTGGCTTTACCACGTATAATGTTATCAGTTATGTATCATATTGTTACGAGCTTGGGGTTCGAGATAATTAAAAACTGCCGAGTGAATTACCAAAATTGACACTAATTACACAACACTAATTACAACTTAAAATCACACTAATAATAAAACACAGTTGTACTATTGATCACTTTAGTTCGCCGTTATTTCGCTTCGAAGTATTCTCTTGTATCGCCAATTCAATACTGCCGTGGTCGTGGTCTATACCGGCCTTATATAGGGCCTCAGATAGTTTTCAGAACCTTCTACTGTAGCGACATCTAGAATGTTCGAGTACATATCGCTCCCGAAATTTCTAGAAGGATCTTGACTTCCCTAGTTCTGCTACTCGACACTAGAGGGCGCTAGTGGTAACTAGTGTTGCCATGTACAAGACATTAATAGTGGCGCGCAACAATATCAATCTTATCATTCTTACAGTCTGTCTTTGTTAAGACATAGCCTGAGGAATTAATATTGTTGTGTTCATTATTCGTAACATGGATTCTTTCTCATCAGCCATAAAAGTCCAGCGCTGGACATGGGCCATTCCTGTTAAATGGAGATCGCATTAAACGTCACGCTTAACTGGTGGATTAACAATTGCAGTGTGAGAAGTCTACCTTCTCTCCGTCGCCGGTTGAGTATTAGACGTCTTATACGAGATGGCTATAGTGTTATCTATGGCAAACCATAAGACTTATGGCATTTCCTGTAATCGCCTCTTACGTCACCCCCGGAACGAAAAGGGGTAATGAATTCTCTTACACCGCCCCCAGCTTTATACAAATTTAGAGAGACCTGTTATTAGAATCAGAATGGGTAGTGTTTTCCCACATTCATTCTGTATACATATATTATATTATATATATAGAGGGTTTAAGAAATCTCTTCCAAAGCATCATCTTTAATGTTTTTTACTTTATTGCACACCTCGAACGCGAAGCAACGAAGTTTGGCTCTACTGTCGATTTTTTTTTACATCACTCGCTTCACTCACATTAAGTCGTATTTATTATTTTATATCGCAATAATATGTTCAAAGCACGTGATTAGAAAGAGGAAAGACCAATGAACAAGCCTGATGCTTTCAATAACACGTATTATTATTAAAAAAAAAAGTCCGATAAAAAAAATTATTGTGGATGTTCTTTAGTATGCGGTTCTTAATTTCTCTGTGTATTAAATATCTCGAGAACTACTTAATAAAACTACCTAATCTTATTTAAACAATCTTCACAGTCATTATAGAGCTGGTTCCTTTCGATAATAACTTCTTTAATCTATTTAAAGTATTACATGAGCGTTCGGGGTGTGCACTTTTGTAATTTGTAAATTTCATTCTACTCTTAAGGATTTTTTTAAACTTATATTAACTGAACTATCGTTACATTACACTACTGATATTTATTTAATAAAAAAATATTCCGCAGTAAATAATAAAGTTGCAATTTTAATGTTTACACTCGCTTACCGGCAACTTGATAATATGATGATAGCAGCGCTACATACTTTGTCGTAATTAAAGTGTGATGACAGCAAAACAGGCACGTTGCGGCAACAATGTTGCAGAACTATTGCTTATGGAAAATATTGGCAAAATTGGTTCTAAAAGATTGTGAAAATTATTTCACATTATCGCACCAAACATTAAAAGAGGTAATAATAATCCGGAACTGGGTCTCAAAAACTTGTAATTAAGTAAAAAAGAAAGCACATCTTTATGCGATTCCAAAATATTAATTTTTTTTTGTTTAATGAAATGTTTTCACTTTAATTGAAACCTGGTCGTTTTATAAAACACCTGGGTCAAAGAAGTGACTGTGACATTATTATTATTACGTTAAATGTTTACAAATTCTGTTCCTCCTTTACTTTGGTTCATTGACATTAACCTGTCGGAAAACCAGACCGAACGGGCTATTCTGATATTATCACCGTCATGACACGCTATAATAACCTATATTAGTTTTGGGTAATGATCATATTTGCTTAAAAGTATTTTAAATATATACTCAAACGGTATTGTCTGTTGCAAGTCTAGATTTAAAAATGTGGTCTCACCGTTGCATATATTTATATTGTCATTAAAATTCACATAAATATAAAAATATTAAGATATTATAACAAAATAAAGTATTAATTGTTTTTTAATGTGTAGTATACCGACGGTCTTTAAACCATAATATACCTAACTATCACGCCTGTTATCCAGTGGGGTAGGCAGAGACTACGGAGTTCCATTCGAAACAAGACCTTTTCTTTACATCGTCGGAAAAGACTCGCGAAAAGATGTTCCACGAGAAGTCTAGATTGACAATTTATTTAAATATACTTCAGTATCATAGTAGTCTTAAAAGTAAATTCACGCCTTACTTCGTCTTTAGTGTGTAAAGCGTAGAGCAAAGAAGTGGAATAATTTGAAGGCGTCCGTCTTTCCGGCCGATTACAATCTGGGCGTCTTCAAGGCGAGAGTCTTTTGTTACGCTAAGACATGTGCGATTTACCATCTCTAGTCATTGTAGTCAAGCATTGGCTTCATTCATTTGTCCATTCAGTACGGCCTATTGAAAGTCCACCGTTGAATATGGTCTATGTTCCTCCATCGATTGCCTCATAAGACTCGTAAGACAGTGGAGTACATTTGTCACTTTTGAGTGTATATATAAGCATGGCTTGTTTATTTATACTCTTAAGGTTCTCACTATAGAAGTTGTCACGCTTGGCGGGCAGTTTATAGCATATGGTGACAAACGAGCATACAGTCCACCTGATGGTAAGTGAATGCTGTGGCCCATAAACATCTACATTTATCCTCAATTAAGAATCAAAATGTAGATGCGTTGTCAACACTGAGGACTAAGAAAGGATTGAATGCCTCGTTTCCAGTAAAAAGGGTCTCTGGTTCTCTACACTCACCATACGAAACACAGCAGCATTAAGTTGCTATTTTACGTTGATATTCTGTGATAGTGTGGTCCTACCCCGGTCGAACCGACCCATTCTTGCTACAACCACTATGTAGCTGCAGCGTGACTCTACCTCGTTCGAAAGTTCTTTTTAGCTCTTTAATTTTTTTTTGGGAATTATTTCTTTTGACTATTTCTCATGTTTTTGAATTTGTAAGTCGTGTTTCATAGAACGCCAGAGTATAAACAATTAAATGCATAATATAAATAAACCATTTTTTTTTAATTTCAGTTTGATTTACTGCCATGGACCCTTACTGCACACGGTCCAGATGGCTGGTCTTTACAATGACTCCAAAACCTTCGTCGATATGAAGATCAAGTACTCTCCCAACATCACATTGGAACACTTTTTCCAGATGATGAACAGGTAACCGTAGCGAATATTACTCGCATAACTTACTTTATTGAACACATACAGGTGTCAGGGTATGGCCACTCTGCAGCTATATTATGGCTGTAACATGAATTGGATTGGCTCGATCGCGGAAGTACCACGCTCTCAGAATAGTAGCGTGAAGTAGCAGCATATTATTGCTAGTTTCGTGTTTTGAGTAGTGAAACGAAAACACGTTCTGGTAATGCAGTGGAATTTTACTGGCCGATGACGATGATGATGACATGAACCGGATAGATGTACAGTCAAATAATGGAGATTAGAGATCTGGCACTACCCATAGTCTGATTGAAATGATTCTTTTAACCCTTGTATGAAATAAAATTGTCCAGGTTTTTTGAGCATTTACCTACTACCACCTCACGGAATACGAGCGTGAAATAGCAGCTTAATGCTAATGTGTATGGTGGGTGTAGAGAACCGGAGACCCTTTTTACTAGAAACGAAGCATTCTATTTTAGTCCTCACGGGTGACAACGCATCTGCATTTTCATTCGATGTAGATGTCTATGGACCGCAGCAACCACTTACCATCAGGTGGACTGTGTGCTCGTTTCTCACCCTTATTCCGTTGCCTTATGCATTTCTTAATTGAGGATAAATGTTGATTTCTATAGGGCAGAGCATCCACTTACATTTTTATTAGTTATTGTTTTTTTTTTTATAAAACTAAAGTGACGAACGAATTTACAGTCCATCAGATGGCTGATCAGATGATCTTTAAACAAAGAAGTCTACAGATGCTGAAAAATAAGATAGAATGTCTCACAGCTCACAGTTATACTAGCTCCCTATAAAAACAGAAAAACGTTTAAAAATTGTTCCATTTGACGTATAATATGAGTGTGGTATATGATTAAGTCTACATATTAGTATATCAAAGTCATCGATCACTAATAAAAACCTACATACATAGAATCAGTGACAAAAATGTCCTTACCGAATGAGCGCCCACTCGAACATTTGGGTGCGCTTTTAATTCCTACGTAGCTTTCTGAATACAACTTTAGGCAATGCGTTTAAGGTTGAATTTACATTAATGTATATTTATTTCAACTGGAATTACGTCAAAACAATTGGTGACATTTTTTAAAGAACTTTTGCATTGGATTGTGTATCTAGTTTTTTTTTACAATGATACTGAGGAATCATTACTTTAAGCCGTCATTTCAAACTGCTTAGATATTCAGATTCGGCTCGTCAACACCACACGTGCTTACAGAATCACGGTTGGAAATCAAATGCTTCCACTATGCCTGACCTTTGTTCCATTGCATATATTCCACTGCTGAACATAGGCCTCATAGGGTGATTTTGCCATAGTTACCACGCCTGGCAGGTGGGTTGGGAACTGCATTTTTTTAATAACTGAGTTGTTATCAGGAAGATGCCGCTGCCCATATCTTGTTTCTCTTCTCTCTGTCGCCTCTTGAGACACCCGTGGGACGGTATGGGCTATATTCTTACACCGCCGCTACACGGTATATCGTATTTACACATACTAAATACAATACAATACGTTAACTATTCATCACTTTTCCAGGTCCCATCCTATGCCCCCAACGAAAGCGGATATCCAGGAGTTCGTCAACCAGAATTTCGATCCGGAGGGCTCGGAGTTCGAAGACTGGAGGCCAACTGATTGGAAAGATAATCCGGGTAAGTTGTTTACAAGAGTTTGGTCCAACCAAAGCAATAAAACGGCGGAAAGGAAGAACTCATTCATCACTAAATTCTACAATATTCAGATTTGGACCTTCCACAACAATATATATGGTACAGTCAATACTCATAACCGGTCAAAACACTGTAGACTGTAAAAAATCAGGCAAAAGTAGTTTTGACTAAGGACGTTTGTCAATACCACTTTTAACTGATTTTTGGAGTCAAAAGTAGTTTTGACTAAGGCCGTTGGTCAAATCCACTTTTAATTGCAAAAATACCGGGTAATAGTGATTTTGACCAAATTACATCGGTTAAAAGTGGTTTTAACTAACAATGTTAGTCAAAACTTCTTTTGTCTTACTACTTTTTGAATTTCTGAAACAAAAAAGTTCAATTTCTTCAATATTTTATTTTATATCATTATAATGTACACGGCTTTAGGGTGGCCAAAGGGCCACTCCAGCCGCACCTTAACCTACTGTTACTGATATTGCGAGTTTTGACCGATAGTCTGAAATTTAAATCAGACAACACTACTTTTGACTAAGAACGTTAGTTAAAACCACTTTTGAGTACAAAAATCGGTCAAAACTCTTTGACCAAGGTCGTCAGTCAAAACCGTTTTTGCCTGATTTTTGCAGTCAAAAGTGGTTTTGACCGGTTATGATTTTTACTGTGACATATATATAACGTAGATAAAAATACATTACTAAAATAAATTATTTGATATACAGCTGAGCACAGACATTTTTAGCGTAGATAGATCTGCCATGTTTCTCCAGTTAAGGTTGGCAGACTTCACTTTACAGTTTATTGGTTCTCTTAATATTTCTCAGATATGTTTACCTGCTACTTTTTTATCGCTAAACACTTCGTCACATTCGCGCTATGTAGACTGCGATACATCAACACCGAGTAGAGAAAAATCTAACTCCAAACCAGATCCTAAAGTCTCGTAGACATCATGCCACATTCAACATTTTGCACGCGGTAAAGCCATGCTGCAGCTATATTACTGGTATATTTGTAGCACGAATGGATCGGCTCGACCGGAGAAGGACCACGCACTCACAGAATACCAGCGTAAAATAGCATCTTAACGCTGCTGTGTTTCGTATGGTGAGTGTAGAGAACCGGAGACCCTTTTTACTGGAAACGAGGCATTACATCTTAGTCCTCACGCATGACAACGTATCTGCATTTTGATTGTTAATCGAGGATAGATGTAGATGTCTATGGGCCACAGCAACCACTTACCTGATGGTGGACTGTGTGCTCGTTAGTCACCCTTATCCTATAAAAAAAAATGTTTCATATGTTGACAACATTGTAAGGTTCGAAACAAGCCATACGTTTGTATACCTAAAGACGCTCCTATCGATTTGAGTGCTCCTATCTTGTTTTATTTGTTATAATAAAGATAGGGATGAAAAATACAAACAACAGGGACGCCGGCCGCTCACATTAATTACACACTACCCACGGAATGTTTTGACAATTAACATTATTGATAAATGACCTAAGTACATGATTACGCTGCATAATTTTCCGTCATCGGACCTTGTAAATACGATTAAGCGTTGTTAACAAATTAATTGAGATCCGCAAGAAAATTCCACGTGTATATATATGTGTATACTATCTTCTTTATAAGCTACAAACAGTTAATAGAAAAATACCGCATAGAAAAATCTTTCGAGCGAATTTCTGCCGCTTTATTTTTTTTTTATAGAATAAGGGTAACAAACGAGCATACAGTCCACCTGTTAGTAAGTGGTTGCTGTGGCCCATAGACATCTACATCTATCTTCGTTTGCGAATTAAAATGCAGATGCGTTGTCAACCGCGAGGACTAAGATGGAATGCCTCTTTTCTAGTAAAATGGGTCTCCGGTTCTCTACACTCACCATACGAAACACAGCAGCATTAAGCTGCTATTTTACGATGGTATTCTGTGAGAGCGTGGTCCTTTCCCGGTCGAGCCGACCCATTCGTGCTACAACTATACTATTAATATAGCTGCAACATGGCTCTACCACGTAAAGCTGGTATTCTGTGAGAGAGTGGTCCTACCCCGGTCGAGCCGACCCATTCGTGCTACAACTATACTATTAATATAGCTGCAGCATGGCTCTACCACGTAAAAATACTGTATCTTTACTAAACGTTACCTCTACACCAGGTTTTGCTTCTCGGTATCATGAAGGCAGTTTACATACATAAATTGCATGAAGACGAACATCTGAACACGGTACTGCTGAACCGAACTGTATTTTATTACATACTTGTCGGAAATACATTAAGAGATACTAATTCGAGCAGATGCAACTTTGCTGTTCGAGGTTTAGCACGACTTTCATCCAGCGCGCAGCACTGCAACCAACCGTCTTAATTTTATGATAAAGGCGATACAGATGGATGCAGAAGTGAAGATGGATGTGGTTTAGCTTGACTTAAAAAGCTTTCGCTACTGTCGATAAAGATATCCTAAAAGCTAACAGAAGTAGAGTGCACGCCGAAATTATTACAATTATTATGGCCAAATACTCAAATGCTACTCAATTTTAAAATGTCGTAAGTCTCGTTGTGTCACAATTACTTAAAGTGATAGATACAGCACGAGACTTAAAGGCATCTTAAAATTTAGCGGCGTTTGAGTATTTGGGCATTAGTTAGCGACATGACTTTAGTGAGTTCGAATCAGACCCATATTATATTAGATACGGCATAAGGTAATAATTGGTGATGTAACAGACCTCTGCCTCTGTTTCCGCAACTTTTATAACGGAAATTTCATTCAGATCATAAATTTGATGACGGCATACCTTCCCCTAAAAGTCCCGTACTCAAATTAATGATGAAGTCCAACCTACGTTATCATCGATGATGAATTCATCATTACAAATGTTAGAATCCATGTTAAGTATGAATGAAGACAAGCGATATTCGACTACAAATAACGATAGTGAAAATCTACTTTTGGAAACAAAGTCACACTTTCAGGAGTACTTATATGTGAAAAAAAAAAATTGGAAATGATTTCTTATATTTACGCGAACACTACACATTTTTAAATAAAATTGGAAATTACACAAACATCGTAATCTTTTGCTGGTAGTACGCCAATATTAATTTGTCGTCTCATCAAAGCAGCGTCACCAGTGAGCAATTATTTAGCAGAGCTGGTCTTACATATGTATGAAGAACATGCGAACAGATTGCTAAGTTACCGTTACTTAATTTTTAATATTAATTTAATTAAAAAAATATACTTTTTTCTTAGTATTTACACTTCCGCTTCCGCATACGATCCCGTTTCTGTTTCTGCTAAAATTTACTTTTGACTTCTGTTTCCCATTTCTACTTCCGTTATGACACTTCTGTTGCATCACCAGCTAATAATTTAGGTCCTTTAGTATTCATAATCATGATTAATGATGCCGGAGGGCGTCAGATATGGCCCGTCTCTATTGTTTGCAGATGTCCTGAAATTATTGCCTTCTACCCACATACTACCTAGATATATTTTACAAGGTATTATGACATTTCAGCGTTTCTCCAAAGGATCAAGGATCCGCTTCTGCATCAATGGGCGTCAGACTTAAATCGTCTGTGGCTTGAGCTTGGAAGAAAGATGAAGGAAGAGGTGAAGAAGAATCAGGACCTGTACTCCATCATTTACGTGGACAATCCTGTAATTGTACCTGGTACGTGTTTCTCTTACAATGTTCAAAAATGTTCTAGGTTTGAGCAGTAGCTATGGATTGGCTTGATAAATGACTTGGCAAACTTGACTGGAAGTTTTACGCCTTAGTGCTGACGAACGTGCCAATAGTCCAGCTGATGGTAACTGACACCTACAACCAACTTCAAACATCAAGAGTATGAAAAAAGCGGTGCTATCCTGAGATGAAGATGAAATGGTTTGGCTTGTAATTGTACTGTCTCTCCCGCTCGCACCAATTAAATAGTTAATGGCAATTTTAAATACCGATTTATCATGTCCTCGGCGGTGAAGGAAAACATCTTGACATGAAACGTGCATGTCTGAGAAATACGGCGGTAAATAAACACGGCGGATATTTCCTTGTCCTAAAATTCCCTCAGAAATGAGAGGAGTCCTGTGCCCAGCTGTGGGACGTATATAGGCTGTAACTTTACTTTTTTACTTTACTATTTTACTTTACTATTTTATTTAGAACGGATATAAGTGGATGCTATGGCACTTAGACATCTACATCTATCCTCGATTAAGAATCAAAGTCTAGATGTGTTGTCTTCCCTGCCAACTAAGATATAATGCTTCGTTGACAGTTTAGAGAACCAGAAACAGTTTGTTTCTGATTCTCTAAACTCACCATATGAAACACAGCAACATTATGTTGGTATTCTGTGAGAGCGTGGTCTTTACCCGGTCGAACTGACCTTTTTTTTATAGAAATAGGGTAACAAACGAGCACACAGTCCACCTGATGGTAAGCGGTTGCTGTGACCCAAAGACATTTACATCTATCCTCGTTTGCGAATCAAAAATCAAATAAAAATGGTCTCCGGTTCTCTACACTCACCATACGAAACACAGCAGCGTTAAGATAATATTTTACGCTGGTATTCTGTGAGAGCGTTGTCGTTTCCCGGTCGAGCCGACCCATTCGTGCTACAACTATATTATAAATATAGCTGCAGCTTGGCTCTACCATATTAAGATCGCACAGCTTGGAAAGCTGTCTCTCTTATCTTTAAACTAAACCACTGCACTCGATACTGTACTTTTGGCGATAATTTTCTGGAATTTTCCATGATGGTTTCTTACGACAAACAAGTAAAAATTAACAAATTCAAGGTCGTTTTTAAAAATCTCTGTCGTTTTTAAAAATCTCTGTCGTTTTTAATTTCAGGTGGTCGCTTCCGCGAGTTCTACTACTGGGACTCATATTGGATTATAAAGGGACTCCTGCTTTCCGAGATGCGGGTCACTGCGAGGGGAATGGTCACCAATTTCCTCGACATCGTCGACAAAATAGGGTTTATACCGAACGGTGGAAGAATATACTATGTTATGAGGTGTGTTTATGCGTGCTAAATTACGTGGTAGAGCCAAGCTGCGGCTATATTATGGTTGTAGCATGAATTTGTCGGCTCGACCGGTGTAAGACCACGCACTTACAGAATACCACCGTAAAATAGCGGCTTAATGCTAATAATGAACCGGAGACCCTTTATACTGGATACGAGGCATTCTTAGTCTTCAGAGGTGGCAACGCATCTGCATTTTGATTCTTAATCGAAGATAGATGTAGGTATCTATGGGCCACTTACCATCAGGTGGACTGTGTGCTCGCTTTTCACTGTTATTCTATAAAAAAAAATGTGTGTTTTTAAGGTAAATGAACATTGTTAACCCAGGATGCTGCGTGGTAACACAGTTGGTAAATGTTTGGCTTCTTAAGCGTGTATGTTCGATTCCAGCCAAGTACTTGTAAAGCTTAAAAATAATTGTTAAATCGTAAATGCATTCGTGAAATTGTTTGTTTGTAGAAGCTATAGTTTTAATTAGTTGCGGGCAGATGTCCAACAGCTACAGTAGGATTTTACCAGCAGTTCATCTTAGCCCGACTGTCTCGTTTTCTCCTGGTTGTAAGCACGAATGCTGATCAAGAGGTCCCGTGTTCAAATCCCCGTTCGGCCAAATTGTCAAAACCAATTATTGCGTGTTTCTGTAAAGAAATTTTCAGTTCGTATTGGATTGCTGTATAATCGGACTATGAGTGTGAGGGAATAGAGAATGCACCTGTACTTGCACGCAGCTTAATGCAGCTGTTTAGTGTGGTGAGCGTAGAGAACCAGAGACCCTCTTTACTGGATAAGAGGCATTCCATCTTAGTCCTCAGGGGTGACAACGCATCTGCATCTTGATTGTTTAGGCTGCGTTTCCACCAGAGATATGCTAGGCGCTGAGCGGTGAAAGGATGTGTGGCGGGCTCGTTTCAATGCGAACGGGGTGAAGTGTGGTGGCAGCGGATGGCGCGCGCCACTGTCCGATGCTTTTTGCGTCCTTCTCTTGCATACATCTCTCACACACATCCGTCACAACACATTACTCGCACACATTCCTCGCATCACATCCCTTACAACCCATCCCTCGCACACATCCCTCGCTACACAAGCCTTTCCATACATCCCTCGCACACATCCCTCACAACACATTCCTCGCACACATCCCTCACAACACATTCCTCGCACACATCCCTCACAACACATTCCTCGCACACAACCCTCTCAACACATCCCTCGCAACACATCCCTCGCACACATCCCTCAACACATCCCTCACAACACATTCCTCGCACACATCCCTCACAACACATCCCTCGCAACACATCCCTCGCACACATCCCTCACAACACATCCCTCGCACACATCCCTCACAACACATCCATCACAACACATCCCTCGCACACATCCCTCGCAACACAATCCTTTGCATACATCCCTCGCACACATCCCTCACAACACATTCCTCGCACACATCCCTCACAACACATTCCTCGCACACAACCCTCGCAACACATCCCTCGCAACACATCCCTCGCAACACATACCTCGCAACACATCCCTCGCACACATCCCTCACAACACATCCCTCACAACACATTCCTCGCACACATCCCTCACAACACATCCCTCGCAACACATCCCTCACAACACATCCCTCGCAACACATCCCTCGCAACACATCCCTCGCAACACATCCCTCGCACACATCCCTCACAACACATCCCTCGCACACATCCCTCACAACACATTCCTCGCACACATCCCTCACAACACATTCCTCGCACACAACCTTCGCACACATCCCTCACAACACATTCCTCGCACACATCCCTCGCAACACATCCCTTACAACACATCCCTCGCACACATCTCTCACAACACATTCCTCGCACACATCCCTCGCAACACAAGCCTTTGCATACATCCCTCACAACACATTCCTCGCACACATCCCTTACAACACAACCCTTCGTACACATAACTTGCAACACATCCCTCGTGCACATCCCTTACAATACAATCCTCGCACACATCCCTCGCAACACAAGCATTCGCACACATCCCTCGCAACACATTCCTCGCACACATCCCTCGCAACACAAGCCTTCGCACACATCCCTCGCAACACATTCCTAGCACACATCCCTCGCAACACATCCCTCGCAACATATTCCTCGCACACATCCCTCGCAACACAAGCCTTTGCATTCATCCCTCGCACACATCCCTCACAACACATTCCTCGCAGACATCCCTCGCATCACATTCCTCGTACACATTCCTCGCAACACAACCCTTCTCACACATCCCTCGCAACACATTCTCGCACACATCCCTCGCAACACATTCTGGCACACATCCCTCGCAACACATTCCTCGCACACATCCCTCGCAACACAAGCCTTTGCATACATCCCTCGCACACATCCCTCGCAACACATTCCTCGCATACATCCTTCACAATACATTCCTCACACACATCCCTCGCAACACATTCCTCGCACACATCCCTCGCAACACAAGCCTTTGCATACATCCCTCGCACACATCCCTCACAACACATTCCTCGCAGACATCCCTCGCATCACATTCCTCGCATACATCCCTCGCAACACAACCCTTCGCACACATCCCTCGCAACACATTCTCGCACACATCTCTCGCAACACATTCCTCGCACACATCCCTCGCAACACAAGCCTTTGCATACATCCCTCGCACACATCCCTCGCAACATATTCCTCGTATACATCCCTCGCAACACAACCCTTCGCACACATCCCTCACAACACATTCTCGCACACATCCCTCGCAACACATTCCTCGCACACATCCCTTGCAACACATTCCTCGCACACATCCCTCGCAACACAAGCCTTTGCATACATCCCCCGCACACATCCCTCACAACATATTCCTCGCATACATGCCTCGCAACACATTCCTCGCATACATCCCTCGCATACATCCCTCGCAACACATCCCTCGCACACATCCTTCACAATACATTCCTCGCACACATTCCTCGCAACACAACCCTTCGCACACATCCCTCGCGACACATTCCTCATTATTTGGACTGACATATGTATTTTGATTTTCAGATCTCAACCACCTCTACTCATACCCATGATGCAATTAATCATGGAAGACTCGTATGATGTAGATTTCTTAAAGCAGCACATCCATACGTTGGATAGGGAGTTTGATTTCTGGGTCAACAACCACACAGTCGAAGTTGAACACAATGGACGGAAGTAAGTTATATAATTATTTACTAGCTGGTACCCGACACGTTGCTGCCACAGACGAAATAATTTTGGAAATATCGTTTAAAATTTGGAAGAGTTATATTGTTTAATTAGGACTGATAATACATTCATTGAAATCGAATGATATATAACTTTCTAATTGTTGGTACGACACGCGCGCCACCTACTGTAGGTTACTTGTACTATGCCTTTAACCTTCACGCAAGTGTAGTGTAAAATTACAAAGTTTTACAGCAATCTGATGAACGGTAATGCAGCGTAAAATACAAACAAACAAACATAAATTTTATATATTAGATTTATTAAAGCGAAAACTTCTTTAGATTCATTGTGATTTGAAACTCGATGAAAGGAAAAAGCAACACTAACAAGTGGTAAAATAAACATTTTGTACAACCGATTTCAATATAAATTATTAAGGACTAGCTGTTCCCCGCGACTTCGCCCGCGCGTAATTTATTACGATTGGATTTCATGTTTTTTTTTTTGCGCGGAACCCTAATTTTTTTTTCTAAAATAAAAGTAGGCTAAGTTACTTCTTATAAAATCAGCTATCTGCCAGTGAAATTCCGGTCAAAATCGGTCCAGCCGTTTCGGAGATTAGCCGTAACAAACAGACAGACAGACAGAAAGACAAAAAATTTTAAAAATCGTGTTTTGTTATAAGTCTCATATATACTTTCATGTGCATATAGTAAAAAGCAGTTATTTCTACATAACATTTAACATTGCAGTTACTCAAAAAATACTGGTCAGATCTTGATCAAATTTATATGGCACTACATGAGAAGCACCAGCTTTCAAATAAAAAAAAATAATTATCAAATCGGTTGACTTAGAAAAAGTTTGAGGTAACACACATAAAAAAAAGAAAAAATACAGTCGAGTTGAGTACCCCTCTTCCTTTTTGAAGTCGGTTAAAAAGAGACAAACATAATAACACCTATGGGATTTAACCTGCCAATTTTAGATTTAGAATGCCAAATCAAGTTGACAGTAGGCCATTTTTTCTACACTTTCACTGCTGGTATTTTCAAATATAAGTCACGTTGCATGTAACTGGAAAGATTTGCTCATACCCTGCAGTTCTTACTTGCTCGTACTGGGCAGCATATACGCCTCACAATCGGTTGCCAATCCTACTACAGTGTAATAAAGAAAAAAGTAGGCAACTACTTTATTATAATAAAAGACTGTTGTTTAAACAGGCTTGAGCCAGCAAAAATGTGAGGGAATCGCGTGACCTTGACAGGTTGACAATAAAGTCGAATGTTTGCAATTTTAATCCAATGTAATATTATTTTGAAATATTCGTTCTGTCTTATTAAAAAATTGTTTGTAATTAGTCTTAGTTTTAAACTAAAGTCTGTTTCAATCATTGAGTTATATGTACTACGTACTAGAGAAGCCATTCCAAACAAAAATTGTGCGCTACTCTATGTTCTCAGTACATTTAAGTTGAACATAGTCAGTGTTCGGAATGCGAAATCTAATTCTTACATATATATCGATGGTTTCAATAAAGAAATTCCGTGGAAAATGTGCAAACTAAAATTTTTAATATGGAATATGACAGCAAATGTCAAATGTCACTAAGCCTATGACGCTGTGGCTCCTAAGGGTATTAGTGTTCTGTGCTGTGGCTAATAGACTTATTTCGTAAGAAAAACTCTTCTTTAAATCCCATTCTATCAATTAATCCACATTTTGTTATAAGACTATATGACTAAGGAGTGAAAGTTCGTTTGTCACTTCAGTTTTATAAAAAAAAACCGCATGCACTTATCCGCTGCCCCACCAGCGCTTGCTTCTGGTACATTACTACTTCTTCCAACAATTTCACCACAACAGAGCCAAGTCACTAGGTCTAGATTCCTTAGAGTGTAAATCGTAAATAGACTAATACTAAAATAAAACTAAAATGTTTTCCGCTTAATTTCCAGATACCAACTTTCGAGGTATAACGACCAGTCGCAAGGCCCCAGACCGGAGAGTTACAAGGAAGACATAGATTGTGCCAAGTAAGTACGCTGAGAGTGTGTTCGAATGCATTCCATCTTTTTTAATATTCTGTATCAGAGGCCTATGTTCAGCCAGATTTTATAGGCTGTCATAAATGAATCAATGAAAAATATCGTTAATACCTTTCAATTATTTTTTAGGTTGAAAGTTTTCACCAGTTCACGTCCGCTATATTGATTTCATAACGACGTCACATAGTGTAGGTTACCTGCGCTTATTGTATACTATTGTATACTACTATTATATTTAACGGTGGTAGAGCCTTGCAGCAGCTTTTGCTGTTGCACGTATGGGCCGGCTCGAGCCGGGTTAGTACCACGACCTCACAGAATACCGGCGTGAAGTGGAAGCTCTGCTTCCGCGTTTCGTCTGGTGAGTGCAGGTGACCGGAGGCCCAATTCCCCCCCCCCCCCATCAACATGGTAGCGGAATTACGTCATAAACTACCCCAGGAGGGTACCAGTACCCCTGGAGAATCCCTCGCTGAGCATCCACGACCATGCTATTCCACTCCTGAGCGTGGGTGCTCAGGCTGCCCCGCGTATTCTGGGGGCGGCAAAATTCCGCTCAACACAATAACTGCTCGGGGCAAACTGAGCAACAAGACCAAGGCGACCCCTGCCACGCTATCCGTGAATTTCTGCAACATCAGGGGACTTCACTCGAACCTAAACGCCGTCCACTACCATCTTGAGACGGCGAAGCCGGCCTTGCTCTTTCTGACCGAGACGCAGGTGTCGTCTCCGGCTGATACTTCGTATCTCTCCTGCCCGGGGTACAAATTGGAGCACTCCTTTGTGCCTCGGGCTGGAGTTTGCGTGTATGTCAGAGAGGACATCTGTTCTCGACGCCTCGGCAGTCTTGAAGGTTCGGACCTGTCCATCCTTTGGCTACGCGTAGACAGCGACGACCATCCGCGCGTCTACGTGTGCCTCTATAGGTCCCATAGCGGTAATGCCGAAACTGACCGACTCATCGACCACGTCCAAATGGCTACAGATTCCTTGCTACAACAGGTCCCATCCGCAGAGATCGTGATCCTTGGCGATTTTAACGCCCACCACGCCGAATGGCTCGGTTCACGTTTAACCGATCATGCGGGGAGATCTGTTTATGACTTTGCCTTGGCATATGGTCTGACACAACTGGTTACATCGCCTACGCGGATTCCAGATGTTGAGGATCATACACCTTCCCTGTTGGACCTTCTGCTGACCTCTCATCCGGACGGATATCAGGTTTCCGTCGATGCCCCTCTTGGCTCTTCGGACCATTGTCTGATCCGGAGTGTGGTGCCACTCACGCTCCCCTCGCGGTTGCGTTCTGCAGGTTGCCGCCGTGTTTGGCATTACAGGTCGGCGGATTGGGACGGAATGCGGTCTTTCTTTGCTTCCTACCCATGGGGGCGGGTTTGCTTCTCGCCGGACGATCCCAGCGCTGTTGCTGACTCTGTCACTGATGTGGTGCTACAGGGAATGGAACTATTTATTCCATCATCTGTGGTACCCATCGGAGGCAGATCTCAGCCTTGGTTTGGTCGCTCCTGTAAGACTGCATTACGCAGTAAGCAGGAGTGTTATCAAGCCTGGGCTGCGGCTTCGGTGACTCGGGATGTAAACACCAGCACGCTCAAAAAGAAGTATAACTTCGCTTCCAGGTCCTTCAAAAGAGTTATTGCCAAGGAAAAGTCAGAGCACATAGGCAGAATTGGCGAGAAACTAGTACGCCTTCCTTCGGGAACCCGTGCATTCTGGTCTCTCGCCAAGGCTGTCCAAGGGAATTTCTGTAAGCCATCACTACCATCTCTGCACGGGGAGGACGACTCACTGGCCCACGACGCAAAACAGAAGGCCGACCTTTTAGGCTCCCTTTTTGCGTCCAACTCGACTGTTGATGACGGGGGGAACACACCGCCGACCATCCCGCAGTGTGAGTGCTCCATGCCGGATGTGCTGTTCTCACAGCGCTCGGTTCGCAGAGCACTCCTCTCCCTTGACATCCACAAGTCGAGTGGGCCTGACGGAATCCCCCCAATTGTGCTGAGGACGTGTGCTCCGGAGTTGGCACCGGTTCTAACGCGTCTTTTCCGGTACTCCTACTTCCTAGGCGTGGTCCCGAAATCATGGAAGACAGCTTTTGTCCACCCGATCCCTAAAAAAGGCGACCGCTCAGACCCGTCCAACTACAGGCCTATCGCCATCACCCCCTTGTTCTCCAAAATAATGGAATCCGTTGTAAACTGCCACCTCATGCGGTACCTTGAGGATCACCAGCTGATTAGTGACCGCCAGTACGGTTTTCGTCGGGGTCGATCAGCTGGTGATCTTCTGGTCTACTTAACTCATAGATGGGCGTTGGCAGTAGAGTCCAAGGGGGAGGCATTGGCCGTTAGTTTGGACATTGCGAAGGCCTTCGATCGGGTTTGGCACAAAGCGCTTCTTTCGAAGCTCCCTTCCTATGGGCTTCCCGAGAAATTATGCAATTGGATCACCAGCTTTCTTGCAGATCGGAGCATCAAGGTCGTTGTAGACGGTGCATGCTCAGACTACAAGCCTATTAACGCTGGTGTTCCACAAAGCTGCGTGCTATCACCAACACTGTTTCTTCTGCATATCAATGATATGTTGCAAGCCGGTAGCATTCATTGCTATGCGGATGACAGCACTGGTGATGCTCTCTACACCGGCCGTGCCAATATTTCTCGGGAAAACGTCACCGAGTACCGGAACAAACTTGTGTCTGAAGTCGAGTCTTTGCTGGACAAAGTCTCGGATTGGGGGCGACTAAATCTAGTCCAGTTTAATCCTCAGAAGACACAAGTTTGCGCGTTTACCGCTAAAAAGAACCCCTTTGTCGTATCTCCTCAGTTTCAAGGTACTCCCCTAGTTGCCTCAGCCAGTATCGGAATCCTTGGCGTCGACATATCGAGTAGCGTGCAGTTTCGTGGTCACTTGGAAGAAAAGGCCAAATTGGCCTCTAAAAAGCTTGGCGTGCTCAGCAGAGCGGGACAGTATTTCATGCCGGCTCAACGCCTGCAACTTTACAAGGCGCAGGTTCGGCCTCACATGGAATACTGTTCCCATCTCTGGGCTGGGGCTCCCCAGTGCCAGCTTCTTCCACTTGACCGCATCCAGCGCAGAGCGGCTCGAATCGTCGACGACCGAGTCCTTTCCGATCGGCTCGACTCATTGGCACTGCGAAGAGATGTTGCATCTCTTAGCATTTTCTTTCGCATTTACCATGGGGAGTGCTCTGAGGAATTGTTCGGATTAATCCCAGCCGCCAAATTTCACGAACGCACATCGCGGCAGAACTCCCGATACCATCCACACCATCTGGATGATTGGCGGTCCACCACTGTGCGATTTAGAAGATGTTTTCTTCCTTGTGGAATAGTTTACCACCAGCGATTTTTCCGGACCGATACGACTTAGGGACCTTCAAGAAAAGAGCCTACTCCTTTTTAAAAGGCCGGCAACGCATCTGCAATTCCCCTGGTGTTGCGGTTGTTCATGGGCGGCGGTAGTCACTTACCATCAGGTGAGCCGCATGCTCGTTTGCCCCCTCTCCTATAAAAAAAAAACTATTATTGTAACAAATCGATTTATTGTTAACTCAAACAAATCAGTTAGTAATGTAACAACAAATATCATTATCCAAACCTTTTCCGCACAAGCAGACGTTGCTATCTTTCGAGTAAATATCTAGATATACCGTGGATAGCAAACTTAAATGAAATCAATGAATCTTAAACTAGATACATAGTTACATAGTATAAAGTAGAATATGCCAATAGTACGGCAATAATAAGTTTCCGGTCACCAGATGTCGCTAGTTGACACTGAGGTGATTTTTTTTACTACACAATGTCATTTAATTGAGAAGTTAGTTTTAAATTAAAGTTTATCAGTTTCTAGATTATTATATTAATATACAATACAATGCCTCAGTGGTTTGCACTTTAATTTTTTGCACATATTTTACTATTTTTTAAATTTTTCTACTTTTATGAATATCTGTGATTTGGTTTATTTATTTTTAATCTAATCAATATAAAATATAACCAATGGTATAGAAAGAATTATTTACCTTTAGATTATCCGAACAAATTAACTTCCCCGCTATGAAATCTGTCAAATACTACACCTCTTTTTAAGTGGTGCCGCCCTGGTGGCAGAAAAAGTCCCGGATGCCGAAATTTGCAGATTAGTCTCATTTACACAAACATTTTTGACTGTTCTGTTATCATTTAATCTGTTCTAGACACTTCGATACAACGGACAAGAAGGAAGAGTTATACGCGGAGCTTAAATCCGCAGCGGAATCTGGGTGGGATTTCTCATCGAGGTGGTTCATATTGAATGGCACTAATAAAGGTAAGTTAATGCAGTATGGGACAATTGTTATTTTGCTACAGGAGAAAATTTTTAACTATCAATTGGTAATAGCATAAAGAACCACACATCCTAGTTATTAAGCTGAAACCGCAATGGATTGGCCATATAGCTCGAAGAACCGACAACTGATGGAGAGGAGAGGTTCTCGAGTGGCAGCCTGGTACCGGGAGGCGAAGTGTAGAGCGTCCCCCTAATAGATGGAGTGACGACCTGGTAAGACATGTAGGAAGTAGATTGACACAGGTGGCTCAAGACCGTGCTTTGTGACAGTCCTTGGAGGAAGCCTATGTTCAGCAGTGGATTTGTGAAGGGCTGTAATGATGATGATGATGATGACGAATCCCCTTAGTTTCGGGAGTACTAGAAAGTTCTAATTCCCTTCGATAGATGACGCTTTTATATACCAGGTCCAGTATACCGGTGACGGTGTGGATTGTCAATGGTTTGAGATATATGGTTTTTTCAAATTCCGTAATATATATAATAATACCTCCAATTATATGAAAAAAAAAAATTTAAGCCCCGATTATAGATTGTAAAATTAATTCATTTCTTTAAATTCTTTGATGTTGCCTTTTACTTTTAGTAAAAGTTAAGTTTTTACCCATCAAAAGGGTAGAATAACCTAAAAAGTTAAAGTTACAGCCTATATACGACCCACTCCTGGGCAGGGGCCTCTCATTTCTGAGAGGATTTCAGGGCGTGGCAGTATCACCTATTAAATAAAAAAAGAATTATCGATCTATCGGTTCACAATTGACGACTATATCGTTTAACACATATATGTATAAAAATCATACAATCGCATTGTAAACCACTTTCTTTAAAATCTTCTAAAAATTTAATTGAGGTGCGAAACAGTGAACCTATTTTTAGTGCGTTTTGTTCTTCTTTCCAGGTAATCTCACAAATTTAAAAACCAGGTCTATAATCCCCGTAGACCTGAACGCGATAATGTGCTGGAACGCGGAGATCATGGCGGACTTCCACCAGAGACTCGGGAACGCCGACAAGGAGAGATACTACAGGGACGTCCATGCGAGGTTCATGGAGGCCATAGAACAGGTACTGACCTCTCATTGTAAACTCGGCAGCGAAGTGGCTGCGGCGCTGTGGGTCACGGGTTTGATTCCCGCTAACTTATTTGCTTGGCTTTTAAATGTTTGTTCAATGTTCCCTTTGTGTTTGATCATTTGCAATTTTTGTGTTTACGACGGCATTAGGAAACTCAAATCACTACAACGGGGATATAGTGACGGAACCAAAGAATCGGCATTGCTATGAGCTTTGTGGTCTAGTTGTCAGAGGACATAACTACTGAGTATCCGATCATAGGTTTCAATCTTGATTAGTGCTAGTATTTAGTCAAAAACATAAACAACTTTATGTAATTGGTTATGGAATTGGTCAGAACCATATTGGCATAATAGGTATACTACGACAGGTTATATATTGTCTGGCTTTCCATCTTAGTTCTCAAATGGGACAAAGCCCCATCTTTATGTTAATTTGACTGCATTGCACTTGCTAATAGATGGTCTCCAATTTGGTTATTTCCTCTTATATAAAAATTCCTACAACCCTCTCAGAAGTGAAAGAGATCTTGTGTCCAGATGTGAGACGTATATATAGACTGTAACCTTACTTTTGTTGGTTACAGTCCATATAAGGGGATCGGTAGACAGGGAGAGGTTGCCCCTGAATTTAGTGGGAGGCCACCTTACACTTCGCTTACCGGTACTCGGCTGCCACTCGAGATCCTTCTTTCCCCATCGGTTGACGATTGCTTTAAACTACATGGCCGGACCATTGCCACTTCAATTTACAGGGCTTACTCTGGTTACTCGTTACTCTGGTTCTATTTATTTATTTATTTATTTAATATTCTTTATTGCACACCATACATAAATTACAGAAATTATATATATAAAAAAGTATGCAATGGGCGGTCTTATTGCTGACAGAAATTTCTTCCAGACAACCAATGAATGGACAGGATTGCACGAATATGACAAGGGCAGGGCATATTGGTGTGTTAGAGAAAAAAGAGATAAAAAGAATAAACACATATACATATTATACATACACATACAACAAACATATATACATACAAAAAATAAAATACATATATATCTACTATACTGCGTTCTACTGCGGATATACTCATTATGAAGTATATCGCGTAGAGAAACTCCGAACATAGTCCACTCCATAGCTTGCTAAGCGACCTTGAGCTTCCTCGTACGGCCAGCAGTGAAGATTACGAGTACGATTGCGATCCATCGATTGATCTGTCGATACACTTGCGACGTCCAATTTATTCTTGATTAACATACTCGTTACAATTCGAGCGTAGTGCCCCCACAACTACCGGCATATGTGTGAAATGAACTTTACACATGCTCTTTGTCTTGTCCATGTTCGATTTGTGACGTATCCGTTTGCAGACACCATTTGGTTCATTGAGCATACTACTGTGCCATAATGAGTGAGTCATGTGATGTACTCACCATTGATTTTAACACTGGTATCCTTTTTAGTTAAGTAGCTTAAAAATGTCTGCTTATTCAGCGGTGAAGAGTTTAATACAACGTTTTTGTTTTTTTTTGTCTTTGTTAGGAATAGCAAACAACTACATAGTATAATGTTACACAAAATAATGTTGGCTTAATGTAATAATAAGAATAAATATGTAGTCAAATACACTATCCACATATTTACAAATGTGGACATAAACTTAAGTTATCGGACGCGATTAGATGCTAAGCAACAAAGCTGATCTTGAGTACGTAGTTAGGTACAGTCGTCAGCAATAAGATGCAAACACCTTCGTTTAACGTTATTATAGTAATATTAACGTTTGTACTTAATTAAACCTGCACACATGTCAGTGCCATTGACTGCACATAATACCAAAATTAATCGTTATCAAAACATAATTAAAATTAACATATTTATAAAGGTGGCCTAGGAGAGATTGCTGTTAAGCACTGTGCAACTGTATATTTTATTCCGTACGTTACTCACCATATGAAACACAGCAGTGTAAAGCTGCTATTTTACGCTGGTATTCTGTGAGAGCGTGGTCCGTCCCCGGTCGAGCCGACCCATTGGTGCTACAACTATACTACTAATATAGCTGCAGCATGGCTTTACCACGTAAAATGTGACCCTGTCTTACGCCTCTCTGCAGTTGGATAGGTTTCGTACTCTGGTTCTGTACTCGGAGAACCCTCGTAGCCTTCTGTACATACACTTGAATTCTTTGATATACCGATAATTAACTTAGCGCCGCTAAATGAATTGTAGCACAGCCCAAAATCTATGGAATTAAAGGCTTTCCCATAGTCCACATACGCAAGACAAAGTGGCAGATTGTAATTTTCGGTCTTTTGTACAATTCGCCAAAGGGTGTATATTTGTTCATTTTAAGAAACTGTCTTGTTCACTTACTGGTAATCATCAAGTCTGTGTGCGAGTCGATTCATTATGGCTCTCGTTAACTGCACTTCAGTTGAAATTTGACGCCTTTCGTGAATAACAAGACTACCACACATCCGCTCTACGTCACGTAGTGCCAACATGGAGGACGGAATCGAGTGAATTGCCTTGCATGGTGATTCTCTATGAGGTAATTCCGGTAATTCCGTGACGTAAACATAGAGCTCAAAAAGGATATTTGACATAGTTTCCAGGCTTGGTGGGCGGGCCCATCTCATGTTTTATTTTCCTTCTGTCGTCTTTAATGACACCCACGGGATATTATGGGTTAGTGTAGTAACATTAGTAGTACAAATACTAAAGCGCCATAGCCAATGCTGTATTTCGCCATAGTTTAATAACTCTGTGAACTGTTTTTGTAACCGTACCATTCTTTCCAGGTGCTCTGGCACGAGGATGTGGGAGTGTGGCTGGACTACAGTCTGGAGTCTGGCAGGAGGAGGGACTACTTCTATCCGTCCAACGTGGCTCCATTGTGGACCGGGAGCTATGATAAGGCCAGAACCGAATACTTTGTGAGGCGGGTCATCAATTATTTGGACAAAGTCAAGGTAGGAATAGACCAAGTTATTTAGTAATTGTAAATGAACTTTAGTATTTTCAGACAGTATCTTTCTCCAGTCAGAAACTTATTGTGAAACGTTAGTCTGCTTAAAAAATGTTTGAGAAAAGACATTTTTATTACTTAACTCTTCAATTCCCAGTGTCATCTGTGTCGTCTGTAGGTGACAGATATTTAAATTCTTTTTCTACCGAAGATAATATTTTTTTTTGTGTCTTATCATTATTACTACAAAAATAATTAGTCCTTAAATTTATTATTATTTTATTTCAACTCTAACTAAACGTCATTTGACAAATTCATTCAGTTCATTCGCGCGTATTTGGAGTTTACTGAGTAAGTAGTATTTACTCAGTAAAAAAAAGTGTATTAAGATAGACATGGGAATTAAAAGAGTTAAGTCGAAAAAATCAAGACATTTAATTTTATTTAATGAACACTTACAAAGGGGTGCGACAAGTGAATCATGTGGTTTTAAATGTTACCCCCATCCCCACACTTAGATTTTTTTCCAAAATAGTGAAGACGTATATATCTGTATAAATTACAAATCCCATGAATAAACATCCAGCACCGGAACAATTTTTTATCGGTTATTATATTATGCGCTGCATACTGCTACTATTATATATCGTTCACCAGATTACGCTAAAACTTTGTCATCTTATTGGTTGCACTTGCACGAAGGTTATAGGCATAGTACAATTAACTTACAGTACGTGACGCGCGTATCATACCGACAAAATTTGTCAGTCAGTCAGTCAAGTCATGTATCATTCATTTTTAATGAATGTATGATCATTCCTAATTAAAAAATATAACTCTTCGAAATTTATAACGATATTTCCACAATTATTTCTTCTGCGGCAGCAACGCGCCGGTCTGTAGCTCATAAAAATACTTATTTCGTCCGGGATTCGAATCGGCAATCACCGCGCTACTGATCCGAGTTGATCACGACTGTTGGATTTTGATAGTCCATTGAAGCAATTATATTTGTTTGTATTGTAAAACTGACATTTTATACCTGAAGAGATCGAAGTTGTCATGAAACTACGTATACAAATGTATATATAAATACAATAAAGCGTAACTCTCACTGGTAGGCCCAACGATCAATTGTAGTATTAAGGAATGGCTCAACAACGAATCGTCCCACAGGTGGACATCTACGAGGGCGGTATCCCCACAACTTTCGAGCACTCTGGTGAGCAGTGGGATTACCCCAACGCGTGGCCTCCCCTCCAGTACATCGTGGTGACGGGGCTCGCTAACACCAAGATGCCAGAAGCGACTCGACTGGCCTACGAGATGGCCACCAAGTGGGTGCGCTCCAACTTTGAAGTGTGGAAGCAGAAGACGGCAATGTTGGAGAAGGTAAAACTTACTACTATTCTCGTATTATATTCGTATTCTATAAAATTTATGACAATCGTTTGCCATTCAAAAAAAATATCAAATAGTATGATAACGTCTTGCAATAGCGGCTGTCGCTTAAGTATCGCAAAGTGTATGACGATGGCACTTTCGACTTGTGCCAATTCGACTTCTCCATGCCAGTCCGATTTGAAAAATTATTTTTGTATATGGTGGCCAGATTCATGAGGAATAGTATAGGCTATATAGAATTAGGCTACAGTTGTTAGCTAGCCTTAAATATTGGTATATCTTAAGCAAGCAAGAAGAAAAGGAGCCACCGAACTGCTTTATCCGCGTGCGCTGGCGTAATGGTTAGTGATACGTAAATATAATGTACTACAAAAATATTGATCCTAAAAAAAAGTCCGCGATAGCATATGCCTATTTCTTACACATAAGCAACAATATGGTATTTTGTGACAAAAGATTATTAAAAATTAAAAAGTGATTTACGAGCGTTGTTATTAGGCATGGTATATTAATCCTTACGAACGAAAGTTACTTCATCATCAAGACAATTTTATGGAGATAAACTTTCCTCTGTTATGTTAGTTGGTCGCGTAGTTGTGGTTGTAGTTGTAGTAGCTGAGCTAATAAAAAATCTAAATAATTCAACACTCGGCTCGGCTCCGGCACCGATGAGAACCGAGAGAAACCAACAGTGAACGCCTCATAATAATACATAAGCGAGGCTTCATGTAGTGCGGCTTAGATGCGTGAAATACGCGAGTGAAACCGTGGGGCAGTCTGATATAATATGTTATATCTGGTAATATCGCCATCTGTCGGAGCAAACAAAATCTTACATACATAACTTTAAGTCGTCTCTTATGACACTCTTTAAACAAAATGGGATTATAGATATGTATTATTATTATTATTCGCTGGTACACTGCTGTGTGTCATAATTATAAATAAATAAAATTTCTGCCTAGTTTAGATCTTATAATAAGTCATCAACATGTTGTTACAGCTTATCAAATGTCCACTGCTGGACATAGGCCTTCCATAGTTGCCTCATAGAGGAGATATATGCCATAGTTGCCACGATTTACAAGCGGGCAGTTTTTTCTCTTTAGTCTCTTACGAAACCTACGGGACCATATGGGGTAGTGGATATTCTTACCCCGCTACTACACAGTCAGCAGGCAATATGATGATGATAATTAATAAATGTTCGTTTCATTAATACTATTACTATTTCAGTACGACGCAACAATCTTTGGTGGCTTTGGCGGCGGTGGGGAATACGTCCTGCAGACCGGTTTCGGTTGGAGCAACGGAGTCGTAATGGCGCTGTTGAACCGATATGGAGGTAAGCGATCACGGGCTTTATACACATTGGAATACAGTTGCAAATCGGATGCATTAACCATTAAATTGATGGATGAGCGATCATAACATTGATCCATTTGATGTTCATATTTACTAATACCCTCATATCATCAATGCACATTTATTATTATGAGCACGATGATTATAGTGAGCGGTTGGGATTCTACCTCATTGCATTTTCCATATTTATATCATCACCATATCATAAAACATGATTTATGCATATTATAATGCTAATGCTATTGTGCGTAGGGTTTAAAATAAACGTCACATTAATATAACTAATTTAGATCTTGTGTTATACGTTATAAAACTCTTTTCCCCACGTTCAACAATGAAAAGTTCTGCTATCCTTCGCTTTTTACATATTTGAGGTTGTTAGATACAAACCTAAGGTATGTTCCAAAAACAAGGAATTTTACGACTTACTATACGACATATGTAATACTTTATTAGCTAAGAAAGAACCTTACCTAAGAAAGAATAGGGGAAGGATTAGTCCTCTCCCGAGGAGGGGCCGCATTGGGCCGGCCGGCCCTTCTACTTCTCCTTCAGCTGCGGATATGTGCGAAAGTGTTCCCATGGCCCTGTCGATATGCGACGAAGGTGGAAAACCATGGGGTTTTAGTCGGTGAAAGTCCGACATCGCGATACCAACACTCCTCTTCCCCCGGGACTCAACCTCGGCTGCGGAGATAGAGGAAGAGGACGCCTCTCGCCGCAGTCCATCTATACACATCCGAAGTGAACCCATACGAAGTGACCACTTCGGGTCAGCCTCAGTCCAGCCATGCAGGTGGCTCATAGCTCAAAGTAGGTGACAAAGTCACGGCTGGGTCTGAGTAACCAGTGGTACGAGCTTAGTAATCCCATGACGAGACAGCAAGTCCTGGGGGAAGTTGTACGTAAACTAAAATTCTCGTAAACAATTTCGAGCGAAGTGTTTCCAACAACTACCTGCATATATCGTGTATATGCTGTAATGTTGTCTAGGATGGTACAACTTTCATTCAAATATAAATAATAAAATTTAATTCAAAATGGAGGGCTTATCATGATTTCCTTCCATTTGTTTTACAATGTCAAAGTAACTTTTTTAATTTATTTGTCATTTAATCATTTTTTTTAATTCAGCTCTTAAACTATTGCTGACAGTTAATTGTTTGATTTTTGTATTTTTAAATCTCGTAGATTATTTTCATGCAGAATAAATTTGTTTAAACTCCTCCTATTTATAATTATTTATTTTGCTGCTTCAAATATTAATTTCATTCTTCTATGTTCATCCACTCATTCGTTCATCGTGGCAGTCGGTAAAGAGGGTATGTCATTTTCATTCACTTACTATTTGTTGTAATGTGTTCTAATATTAAACATTATAATTAGATTTCTTATTAATGCTTGTCAAATATTTTACTTTAATTGTAGTAACGTACGAAAAAAATACGGACGTAATGTGACAGTGAAAATATGTGAAGCATCCTAGGTCGTACAATTTTGTTAGTCACTACGCAAGATACATGAACACAAATTGACAAGAGGCGTCATTCATTGAAGTAATAGAGGAAACAGCGAGACTTGGTCGCCTGCAACACGCGTTAGTTAGGCCCATGGGCCAAAATTTACTTAGTATGTGCCATAAAAAGGTACTCTGTGCCTCCGACCACGCGCTTCGCATTGGAGTTTTGGCGGGAACTTGACCGGCGGCGGTTTGCTGCTCCTGTTTTATTGTTTAAATAATGGTTTGAAGTGGACTTTGTTATGTAAAAGTGGTGCGATTTTGTGTATTAAGTATCTGCGCATGTGAACTATTAGTTGAAACTGTGAAACATGTGCTCTGATAGTGATGTGATTCTCAAAATAAGGTGCCTGTCTGCATAGGCGCCTTGAGATACCATCGCCAACCGTCAGCTGTCTGCTGGCTCAAGTTACCGTCAAAATCTCCCAAGCGCTGCACAATGTGACGCATCAACATATTGTGAAGCAGTATACTATGAAGAATAATTATTATAATATAATATTGTAACTTCAGGCTCAGAAGGGCTAGATCCCAGAGCCGTAAAGCCAGTTATTAAGAAGAAGAAAGCTTCGCACTGTCGCACAGATTTTGTTCGCGGTGTCTATTCTAGTACGCAGTACATATAAGTTCAATGGCGTCATTTTGCAGTAGTCTTGTGCCTGCTCGGTCATTTTAAAGATCACTCCGTACTTGTTTATTACAGACAGTGAACTAGTTCGTTCTATTAGTTCTATTCAGTCATCAATACTACTAACCTGTTTAAATTGTATCTATCTGTATGGAATGGTTATCTCAGTCAGTCACTGACTGATTCAGTCAACAGTCAGACTGATAGATACAATTTAAACAGGTTAATGCAGTCAGTGTCAGTAGGTCGATATTTGTTCGAGTCGTAATGTTGTTTGATAAAAAATATTATTAACTTAAAATTTGACATAATATTTGATGTGCCTTCATACTTGAACAGGCTTTTTTAGGACTGTCATTCTAGCCAATAGCATAAAGATAATATTATACCAGTTTTATGTATTGCAATAAAATATTTATCTATACCTACATAAATTTACTGGCCTTTTATTTATTGCAATAGTAAATTTATTGCAATTAAGGCTTCACATGTCTAAAAATAAGCATTGTAATAATTATTTGCTATAAATTTAAACTTCTATCCAATATTTTATTTAACGCCATGTCTACCTTGAATGACTACTGACTGATTCTGTACTGTTTGCGTGCGTCGTTCGCACGCACGGTTTGGTGTTGGCGTCTTGCGAATGTAGGTGTACGAAAATAACTGTTAGACCGATTAAGAGCGGCTACTCACTTGCCTGCAGCAGGAGCAATCTAGGATGAACAGTAATCGGGGCAATATCACAACTGTCTCTACACACATGCCAGCCGTTCAGTATGAGAGTGTCTCGCTGGACACACGCGTTGAGAATGGCGCCAGTTTTATCGAAATATCAATGAATCGGTATATATAGCCTTGGCTCTTTTTTTATATAGAATAAGGGTGTCAAATGAGCACACTCCACCTAATGGTAAATGGAAATTATGGCCCATAGACATCCATATTTATCGATAAACTAACCATTTAATTAACAATAATTACAACCATAATATAGTCCTTAAAAGCTGCAGCATGACTCTATCACGTTTAAAAATGTTACAACGTTCTAATAACGTTTTTTCTGTGCTACCGTAAAAAGGACAAAAAGAAGACACTGGGTGAAGAAGCCCCTTCTTTATACACTTCTATCACCAGTGTCCAAATTTCACATTCTTTATTGGTATCCATTGTGACTTATATATACTTGTGATGATACTCACACGTGTGCTCCGCGCGAAAGTCGCTAACGAAATGATAGAAATTGCCCCAATTGCGCTACACACGTGGCAACAGCAGCTATGATCTACCAAGATACGTTTCCTATTCGTTCATCGTTCGCGAACTACACAAGACTATAATGCAGCGCGCGTCAGTGTAGCTGACGTCGTTTATCGTGATACTTATTGGCGTCGATTGTCGGACCTTATATGCATATGTGTGCGTTATGCATGTACTAAATTGTAGGATCCAGGGTGCTTCACACATTTTCAGTGTACCATTACATCCGTATTTTTTTTTGTCCGTGATTGTTGTCTTGAAAATAGATTTGTTTATAGATGTATTAATGAAAGTATCAACATTGTTGTTATGGAATTTATTGAGATAAGTTAGACCTTCACATTACTATACATAAACATTTTTAACAGAAAGCTTATCATCATTGCTACAGCCTAACAAACCCACTGCTAAACATAGGGTTACATACACTCCCTATAGTTTGCCTCATGAGGGGGGGGAGGGTTCTATTGTTGCCGCTCTGGGCATGTGGGTTGGCAACCGCAGGTTTCCTCATAGCATCCACAAGATGATATGGGGTAGGAGATTCTCTGACTACATTGCGTAAGAGAAAAAGCTACATAATTTTCAATAACCAGAAGTTGGCGGCATCAATGCACGAATTCACGCTGATTGTATCGCCTGGTCGTTCTTACCTACCCGTTTCTGTATAAAGCTTTGATTTCAAGATTTATGTATGTATTAAATATTAGAGACATGTTGACATAGTACAAGAAAATAAATATTTGGTTTACATATTTTAAAAAAATCATATTTTAAATAAATTTTTATTTTTATTGGAATTTATTTGCTATTGCGAACACATCTTGAGATTCAAGTTGGTCATTTATTCACACTAACATATCATTCATACAACACATCTCAAGGCACACAACTTATTAAAACTGAAATTTAAATTAGGGATTTTTTTTATAAATTCTTCTGTTTAGATTCTTTATATTTTATTTGCCTGTATGTAGATTTAATGTAATAAATATATTTTGTTGTAGCCATTTTGCTTTATATTCGGTGTTGTCAGTTTTATGATATTAATTTTCACATGGTGAAAACATATCAATTTATTATTTTAATGTTATTATATTTTGATTTGTTCATTAAAATGGGTGCATTTTAAAACGGTGAATTGACAATTTAATTAATATTTTTTTAATAAATTAATTATCATTTGCGCAGTATTTTTTTCTCATACCTATTAATGCACTTACTTTTTGAACACACCTGTATTTTACTGCATTTTTACTTATTTTCTATAATACCCACTGCATGAAAATGGCGGGCGGTCGTAGACTAATGTACTGGGCTTTGGTGCTTGATCTGTGGTATACAAGGCAATAAACTATTGCATGTAGGGATATGGTTAATCCGTTGCAAATTTGTAATTAATATTATTGCGAAATTAATTTTACACATTTTATTTATATTCCCGATATTTGGAGCACACGGATGTAAAGAAATATGAACGTTCTGTTACATTGTAAATGCGTAAACCACGCTCGGTCCTACAAACGCACACACACACATTCAAGATCCGATCACCTTCGTCAGTATGCAGCGTACTTCAGCTTTAATGATCACAGGGTACTTTATATGTAAAACTGTAAAAAAACGAATAGTTTTTAGTTTTTACCTATTAAGTAATCTGTGTAAACTATTAGTATTAGTACTTTATACTCTTAGTTTATATATATAAAGTACTCTGTGGTCATTAGAGCCGACGCGTGCTACTTATTGGCGTGCCGTGGCCTTACCTTGACGTATTTGTGTGTGTTTGTAGGACCTAGAGTGCTTCACACATTTTCAGAGTAACATTATGTCCATATTTTTTTTACGTCCGTGACTTTGCAGAATGGCGTTCATGTGGCACATGAGTAGATCTTTCAATTTTTTTTTGATCGGAACTACACAAGAAAACAATGCGAAATTGAGGGAGAGTAAATTAAAATAAATGAGCTTAAGAACGTAAAATTAATTTCGTGAGTAATCACTATATATTTTATTTTATCAGATTAGCAATGGATGAAAAAAATAATAAGTTGTTATAGAATTAATTTATATTCATATATTTTTGAATAGGCACCAAATATGACATGTATTTTCTTAATTTGAGTAAGAATTATAAACGAAGACATAGTGATGTTTAGTGATTACTAGTTACTATGAAACTTTATTTGTTTTTGACCCATTGGATTAAATTGACAACAATTTGACAAACTACTATCAACGTTTTGTTAATTAATTTATTTTAATTCTATTTTCTATTTTCGTAATTTTAAATTTAGAAAACACTTGAAGTAATGTGATTCTAAATAACTAAGAGTTCTCAACAGTCGCTCCCTTTCCTATTCTCTCTTGCACAACGATTATTCTTTGCTGATGGTGAGTTTTCTTAATCACGCCATCTTGTCTAAATTCATATAAGAATGATAAACGAGTTGACTGTCCTCCTGATGGTAAGTGGTCCCTGTAGCCCAAAATACCTGTAAGCAACTTCGAATAAATCATAAACTGTAGATATGTTGTCTCCACTTTGGACTCTTTAATATGGAATGTCTAATAGCTTTGATGATATAGATAGAAGTTGGCCCTTGGTTATCCATATTGAAAGTGACGTGTGACGTTTTCATGCAATCTGGAAGTTATTCTTAAGGTGCCTAAACAAATCTAAGAAGGTCTTTGACTTGAGAGCACTGTGAATGTGGTAATTGAAAATTCATTTTGTCTCAGTTCTACTCAAAATAATTGTTTTATATATATAGATCACCTTTTTACTACTTACTTTACTTTACTTCTGACGTAGTAGAACCATTACATGATGCAAGTATATTTATCAACTTTGTAATATTTGGTGCCTATCAACTACGTATGTTATTGATTAATCAGAAAATTTCGTGACAGCTTAATTAAAAAAAGAATAATTTCTAATTTGACTAAAATAAAAATCATTCTAGTAATAATAAAACATACTGTCAACTTCGAAAAAAATGAGAATCAGTAAGACTGGCCGGATATGACAGTAATAAATAAAAAAAAAACAAAGCCCATTCGTTAGTCTAGACGCGCCCGGTGTCGCGTTCGCGCGCTCACGGCGCTGACTATTTGACAGAGACGTTGTCGGCAGCGGACGTCTTCGGTTCGGGCACCGTGGACTCTGGTACAGTTTACGGCGCTCAAGTGGGCGCCGGCGGAGTCGCGACTGCTGTACTCGTTGTAATGGCGTCTGTCGCGGCTGGAGCTTTAGGGTGAGGTGAGTTATCGATCGACAACTGATTTTTTAAACATAGTCCTCATTTTATTTTCAGCACCTGTTTTATTCCAGTTTTGTGAATACTGGGAACACCGGCATAAGAGAATACATCACTTCATATAGTCCACTCATTTTTCCTAAACCATCCGTGTAGACCACGATCAGAGGCACAGTAGAGCTATCCATAACACAACCCAATCCAAAAACCAACAATCCCGCTGGGATGTGAATTAACACACTATAGATACGCTGTACACGCTGTGTAGCTGCCCCAACAAAGATAAGACTGGACTAGGGCCCATCAGTGGTCCAATCGATGGGCAGCAGAGGACGGGGCCCTACGGCCTATGGAGGCTTATTATTCTACACAATAGATATAAGGCTAGGTAATCAATAAGAACTTACCTGGTTCCGAACCGAGAACCGACCCCAGGCGCGGTCAGGCGTTAAGTATGTGCATGGGAGTAGTGTGTAGTAGTGTTTATATATGTGACCTGACGGCCCGATTTAATCGGACAGAAAATCCACCGGAGCTGATGTTCTACCAATGCGCGCTCCCTCCAGTCGTGGATCACCCAGGGAAAATTTCTGCCTTCATTTCACTATTTCAGTTTATCAACTTTATTGTACACTATTTCAATCCATCAACTTTATTGTACATTTAACTAACTTCAAGCTCAACTAAATTCAACGGTCATCGAAATCAAACACGTGACACCGGACACAAGTAACGAACAGTCGTTCAAAGTTCAATATTCAAGGTTCCGGGTTCATTTAGCACCAAATTACAAACAGGGAACGAACACGATCTCTTCTCGAGTCACAAAGTTCAGCGTTCCAAACAACAAACTAAATTCCTTCGTACGATATTACATACCACGCCCGCAATCAGAATTCAAAATTCGCCTCGTTGACACGTAAAACGATAGAAAACAGTCGACACACAACAGGCCCTTAACGCGACGTTACAAATCAACTTTAACTTCCAAAAACAATTAACCGGGCCACGCCCTCGAAATGGAATGCGAGCATGAAATTCCAGACCGTATGTCCACTCGGCGTGCGCGCAAGGTTCCACGTCACACAAGCAAGTTAAATATTGCAAAATTCACTTCAACATGCAATCACTATACAATTGACGTAATTACTTGCAAACGAAATTACTTTAATCAGTCAAATTCAATACAAGCCTCTTGTCACGAAATGTACAACTTAGACAAACTAATTCGAGACGGTCTACACGAAACCCAAATTCAATAGTAAATTAAACGCGCACAAATAATCAAAACCAAAAACCTGGCCGCGCGAAACCGATGCAGCGGTCACAAAAATTCGCTAATCGACAGCGCTGCTGCTGTCAAGCAACTAATCAGCCCACCGGCCGGAATAACGGGGCACCCCCCCCCCCGGCGTTTACCTCACCTCGACACCATCGGGTGATGCACTGAGTCAAACGCGATTGGATGACGTTTCAAATGTCCATGTTTGAGCAAAATTAAATAGTAATGTGCAACGCGTTGTCGACATTTTGTAACCAGAATACACGCATTCGATGATATTTTTTTTTTTTTTGATAACCAATAGCCTAAAATTTGTCTCCACTTATATGAGGCTTAAATATATTAATAACTTAAAGCTATTTATATCGCTGAAACACAGAACACAGAGAAATATATATTTTTTGATTTAAAAATGTCTTTATCGATGTTTACTTGCACTGTTGATACCTACATCACTATACCGCCCCGTACAACCAATGAGTGCGAGCGAGACAGAAGACAAAATTTAAGATGGTTGATTTAAATAATAACGACCTTTTCAATATATTAAGTATATTAATAAATTGCCATATCTCAGATTCCAGAGAATTAGTAACCTATAAAATAAGATAAAAATTACGTGTCTTGCCTAGTTTGAAAAGCACCTTCCGCCCTCCCTCAATAGCGTGCACTATCCCCCGCCATGACTAATCCCAACACCACAACACTAGGAAAGACCACCACTGTCGAAAATGCGACACGTGTTTCGCCTCTAAACGAAGCAATACTAGGAGAAATAGACTGCGATGTAAAAGGCTCTTAACGCGACGGTACAATTGCAACGAAATTACTCTAATCACTCAAATTCAAAATAAGCCTCTTGTCGCGAACGCACAACTTAGACAAAACTAAACCGAGGAAGAGAACTTTTAGTAATTGATTTTTAACATCTTTTATTACTATTTTTTGCCTTAAAAATGCACATTCCTCCCACATTCATGTAGTTACCATAGATTATCTTTTTGTTTCAGATTTTTTTTGGTGTTACGTAGACTGCATATGAGGCCCAGTAAAAGTAAGATCATTCCTTATTTTTCACACCATATTTAAAAAGTTACTTACTAATTTTATTTACATTTATTGTATATCATGCAAAATACACACTTAGAGCATTGTCACACTTGCATAAGTCGCAGCTTCTTATTATACTTATACTAAAACTAATATTTAGTGTTCGGATTACCTACTGTTAATATTTGTTTCATAATTGGTTGACTTCGTAGCATAACATATTGCGAACTATTCCATAATTTGGAAAAAGTTTATATATTGACCTTATTTCGTTCCATAAAATTTTAAAGCAATGTTCATATTTTTTATAATATACGACCATATACGACGCTCATTCAGTGCAATGAAGTGACACATTTTATTAATATAGTACATACATTAGTGTTTTGAACATTTTAATACCCCAGTATGTTTGTTACTACAAATAGGACCGTATTGTTACCCGATGTGTGATTTTATGGTCTTTATAAAATATTTTTTTAACTACGGTTGTCAATGTTTTGCCGGTTTTAGTATTTGCAATAATCATAATTAATCCTTTTTAGTCGACTTCAAAAAGGAAGAGGTTCTAAAGGCGACTGTCCTTTTATAAATGTGTACATAATAATATGTTCAGTGATCTTTATAAATTTAAAACCGATTTTAATTTATAAATTTGAATAAAAAATTCAACCTATTTTAAGAGAATTGTCTGAAACTAAACTAGGTGAAGTTCTTCATGTAACCATTCAGAAATTATTCTAGTTTTTACCTTGAGCTTGTGATATTTCATAGTCAACTTAAATAGGTCATAAAATTATAGGTGCTAAGACTGAGTGTATACAAGATTTAAAGACCCGGCTTCTGAAGCTGCACATAATTTTAGTTCCTTGAAGTCGACTGATATCTTTTAATAAAAGTTTAATTTCTTTTTTTGAAAAATAATAAACCGTTTCGCTCCGTCCTTACAAACTGCTGCTTTAGTGTGATAATGCTCTGAGCATTCTATGTACAAACCTTTCTACACTCCTTATAGTTATTAATAGTGGAATGTATGTAGTAAGTATTATGGTATAATTTAGCATTTTATGATGTAGTTATAATATGAAATTCGTAGATTAGTAATGTGTTACTGATACTCTTGTTAACATTCCAGAATTTAAAATGTAACATGTATTATTCAATCTGTCATGAAGTTGTGTATAAATAAATATTTTCTGGCAACTTTGTTATGTTCCTTCTTATAGTTCTTATAATTATTATCACGTTACTCAGTATTATGTATTTATTTAATGTAGCAATATTATAATTAGTCTTAAAATAAGTAATATATTTGATAAAATAATTTCGGTTAAGTATGTATTTCTGTTCAGAATTCCTATATTTATGAAAGTTTTATGTCTTCAAAATATATTATAAATTAACATACTGCAACAACACATATTCTCATTAATTGCATATTGATAGACAGTGTAATTCGCCAAAATCCTTTTGTTACAATCAATACACTTTATTAATTATAACTATTTAAATAAATGTTACTTAAAAATCATATTAAAAAAAAAAACAAAAGACGTTATTACACTTACGTTATTTTATATAATGATTTTTATATATTTGGTGCACTTTCGAATACTTACTTGTGTTTATGGTATACTATACATATTTTTGTTTATTATTAAACATATATTTTTCTATAGAGGATGTGTTACGGGTAGGTACGGTAGCTCGGAGTAGTAATAAACCTAGGCTTATACGGCTTTTTGGGCAAAGTCCGTACCTATAATATAATAATTTAAATAACAATGGCTTACATAATGATTTCTTATATTTAAGCGAACACTACACATTTAAATAAAACTGATTTTACGGATTTTATCGCGTATATTAACTTATTTTATATTCCAGACGTTTCTAGTATTTTACAGCACCCATGGTCACTAGGGGGACTGAGGTATTTGAAGTCCTAATGTCATAGTTAACCACGGCTACCTCCAGATTAAAAATTAATAATTTTTGTTCCGATCTACGCAGTATGAACTTACAGTATCTTGAAGTTTTGCAGGTGTATTGCTTGGTTTGGGATTTAATTTTATTAATTATAGGATCCCAAGCAGATGGTAGTACACAGCCATCTTCTCCATTGAAATTAGGATGTTTTTGATTTCAGTAGCCTCGCGAATCATCCTCGGAAGGAATCGGTGTTCTTTAGCGAGGATTTGTGGTCTATCAAATCTAATGTAGTGACGGGGGCGATCCTGTACGTGTTTACAGACTACAGATTTCCCGGAGCTGCGGTTCTTCACATCAGCTATGTGTTCTTTAACGCTGGTTTTTATTGATCGGAATAAAAATAAATAATTTTTAATCTGGAGGTAGCCGTGGTAAACTATGACATTGGGACGTTATACACCTCAATGCCCCCCGTGACCATGGGTGCTGTAAAGTACTCGAAAAGTCGGGAATATAAAATAAGTTTATATACGCGATAAAATCCGTAACACCAGTTTTATTAACAATGGCTTACGTTAAATTTGTCAGAAATAAGAATGCTCATATAAAGTAATATTAGTGACAATAGGTTACGGTAAAACTGCAAAGAGCCGCGGACAATAATGTAATTTATAAATTATTCGGAGTTTACCCAAAAATTTGGGTAAACTTAGGTTTACCAGTTCTTAGGGAA